GACTCTTCCAGCCGAGCAGCAACTCCTTAATGGCTCAATGGTTCTTGGCATAACCCAAGAAACTCCTAACCATCTAAAGATATATTCCCATAACACCGTGGCTAAATTGCAATGTAACAGAATATGGTCCACCTCCTCACCCGTCTCCTTACAAAGGAAAGACCAGCTCAAGCAAACAACCTTTCTTTTCCTAAAATTCTCCGTAGTCAGAATCACTCCTCTAGTAGCTAACCACATGAAGAAGCACACGGCACACCTTCCTTGGGCCTCGACACCTTGGGTATCCAGATCGAGACAAAGGAAAAACTATCCTCTACCCAATTTCTCATTCCCCAACTCTAAACTCAAAGCATCAGGTCTGTTGACTGGCTCACATTACTTTTTAAGTAAACCTAGCAATCTCTGAAACTCGATCACATCCCAATCGCGAAAAGTCCTCCTAAAGCTCAAATTCCATACAGTCCCCACCACCGTGCATCTCTGTAACTTGCTGAACAGACAATTTCCTTTGGCAGGAGGCTATATACAATAGCGAAAATTCATCCTTGAGCACCAAACTTCCACAACGCTTTTTCCCTCAAAAACTTACCATACTCTCTTCCCCAACTTTGGAAGCAATGTTATCATTACAAACATCCTACCCTTCATGATATTCCTCCACACACTAAACCCGAAAGGCATTGTGATCACATTTGTTCTTCATCCCCCTCCCATCTCTCCATATTTATCTGCTATCATCCTTCTCTATAAGGTTTCTCCCTCCATCCCAAATCTCCACAATCATTTACCCAAGAGTGCTTTGCTAAAGACCTTCGAGTCCTTAACCCTAAGACCGCCCCATTGTTTAGTAGATGTCATGGCTTACCAGAGTGCTTTGCAACCTTTCCAACTTCCCTGTCACACCTGTAGGGGCGTTGAATATGGACATCCAATTTTTGGCCATGAATTATCAAGACCCTTTTTGTCACGACACACGTCTCTCGGACCCTGTGCATAGCGGGAGCTTTAATACCCCGGGCTGCCCTTTACACCGGGCTGCCCTTTACACCGGGCTGCCCTTTACACCTAGTCCATATCCGGTGCTCAGTAAGTCTACCAGGAAAACCTAACTATTTTCACGCTAAAAGTTCGGCAGAGTTTTCTCTATACGGGGAGAAATTCATAAATGTAAACATGTCTGCACGTAGTAAACAAGAACCTAACATACTACAATGCCATTTTTAGGATAAGTGTGGGATGTTTTTTGTTCGTTGTGATAGTAAAAGGATGTTGTCTAAGTTTGGAATATAGTTAAGGAAGATTTTTAGCCAAAAAATCCATTCTAACCCTTTTCTCGTAAAGAAAATAAGTGATAATAATGGTCTTCATTGGTATAATGGTTTGGAGCCTTTGGGTATCATTTCTGTTGATATGGATGATGAGAAATGGGGAAAGGTAGAGTGATCTTCTTGTGTAGAGATTTTGGTTTGTTGCTAGGAGTGTTTGGAAATGATCTTTCTGGACTTTCTAATTACGCCCTAGCACTTGCATAGATGTGTGGGTTCTGAGCGAGTACGAGGTTTAAGAATCTTGGGCTGATTTTGATATTAACATGCTTTGTAAGATGCATAATTTTCTCTTCTTCTCTTTATTCGCATTGTTCAAGTTCAGCCCTTGCATTAAATTTGATTCAAGGCCATATTAAGCACAAATATCTATCCATTACGAGCAACATATGAATAGTAGCAACCTTCTAGATTCTAGCTGTTCTAAGTATTAGGTCCTATTATTGTAAAGATAAAACAAAAAATAAAAATGAAAGGTCCTATTATGATATGAACTTATGGTAGAGAGGTGAATCCTGAATCTCTAGGTTTCCAAGTATGTGGTTGGTCCCAAGAACTGGCCACTGATGGATATCTTGATCATAATGATCTGAACTTATGATACATATTGAAGTTGAAACTTGATCTGAAAAACAAAAATTATGTTATTGTTGGTTTTCCTAGGCATTTTCATTTTTAAAAAGAAAGACTTGCACGCACTCAAGGGTGTGGCCAAGTGGTTAATGAAGTGGATTGAGAACCATGAGGTCTTAGGTTCAAATTTCAGCGGAGGCAAGCCATTTACCTGGTGGTGCCTATGCTTATGGGAGATAGCATGTAAACTGTGAAACTAGTTGAGGTGCGCGCAAGTTGGGTTGAACTTCATGGTAATCAAGAAAAAGAAAGAAAGATTTGCAAATAGGAAGGGTTTACTTGAAATAAATAAATTTTTCCATGGTTCACTTGTACTTCTTCTATGGTTCTTGGAATGCGATTGGAAAAAAAGAGTAGATGGTGTCTATGAGACAATTTGACTTTTCTTTTAGTTGTCCATGTGTCATGTATTATTCTTGTGATAATTGTTGATTGTCTCATTTTTTTCTTTTCTTTTTTGGCAGGTACCAGATTTAGGAAGTGACGGTCCCTCACCAATTGGGTCAATGCAGATCGAGTGAGTGCTAGTTAGTTATCATTGCTAGGATCAACTATGATTTTGTTGAGCATTCTGGTTGAATAACTCTTTAAAACTTTTATATTGTTGATGATGTAACTTTTACTTTGGAATAATTATGCAAATAACTCCATGAAACTCAAAAATTTGATTGGCAATGTGGTCTGCTAAAGTATATCATGATTTCCTCAACAACAGATACAATGCTCTATGGAATATCACATATGTGTTCCAAGATGTTTTTAAGCACCAAGGAATCTATCTTCAGCTGCACAATATCAGTAGCCACAAAATAAACTAGGCTTCCTTGATTACAACAACCACAATCTCAATTTTTGTAGCTTGATGAATCTTCATAGCTTGAGCTAGGGGGTATCAAATAGACGAGTTGGGCTGAATTTGAGCAGGACTAAAATAGGATGACTTAGACAATAGGCGGGGCAATGACCCATCTAAAGTTACTTGGGCTGAAATGGGCTAACAAATGGGTCATAACACAATCTGTCCAATGCTTATTAGTTTTTGTTTTAAAAAAAATAATTTGTTGAAGTTCGAATAAGTTTTTCCTTCGTTATGGATATATATAACATGTTTAACAAAAAAACGTCTTTAATATATTTTGATAAGATTTTTCATGGGTGAATTTAGGCTATATATCAACCTAGCTTTTAAAAGGTCTGAAATGAGCAGGTCAAAATGGGTTGAGTTCAATATTGACTTGCCCAAACTTGGAAAGGTTAAGGCAGTTGTGTTTGCATGGATTGGTTTTATTGCCCTTGATTGAACATATGAACTTATTCCAGGATTGCTCGTGGCATACCTAGGTATATAGTTGGTAGCTCCCCTACTCTACGATCCAAGACTTCTGCCAAACTATCTACCTCAACCACCTAATTTATGGGATAAATGAAGCTCTTTCCCCAGTTGATGTGAAATCCAGAGACTGCTTCAAAGAAGATGAATATTACTCTTAGAATCAACATTTGCTCTCTCACTGCTTCACAAAAAATAAGAGTATCATCCGCGTATTGCAGATGAGTGATCTCCAAGCCATTTAGTGCACTGTTGTCCACCTGGAAGCTCCTTACCCAACCCTTCACCTTTGCTGTCTGAATCAAGTTATTCAAGCCTTTCATGGCTAAGATGAATAAGAAGGGTGACAGGGGGTCACCCTGTTTCAGTCCCATCTGGGATGGAAAGAAGCCACTGGGAGTTCTATTGACTAGAACAGAAAACTTGACTGTGCTAATGCAAAATTTCACCCATCTGATCCACTTGGCTGCAAAACCCATCCTTTGCATCATAAGTAGTAAAAAGTTTCAGTTTAAGTGGTCATAGGCCTTCCGTATATCAAGCTTGCATAGAATTCCAGGGCACTTGCTTCTCTGTCTGGATTCTACAGATTCATTTGCTATCAGCACTGCATCCACTATTTGTCTACCTTTGATAAATGTCATTCGTTGTTTATTGTTGTTTTGGAAGGGGGACTACATTGATGTAGTAATTCAAAAAAAAAAAAAAACACCAAATGAAAAGACCAAACCACCTTAGTGGAACAAAGGGTAGGTCTATAGCTCTGCAGAAATTGAATTAAATTTGACGATTTATTAGGTATATTTAGTAAAAAGTTCCAGTTTAAGTGGTCATAAGTCTTCTGTATATCAAGCTTGCATAGAATTCCTGGGCACTTGCTTCTCTGTCTGGATTCTACACATTTATTTGCTATCAACACTTTATCCATTATTTGTCTACCTTTTATAAATGCCATTTGTTGTTTATTGTCGTTTTAGAAGGGGACTATATTGATGTAGTATACTCGTGGATATATATAGATGAAAAAGGTACCATTTTCAAAAAAAAAAAAAAACCCACCAAAAATGAAAAGACCAAACCACCTTAGTGGAACAAAGGGTAGGTCTATAGCTCTCCAGAAATTGAATTAAATTTGTCGATTTATTAGGTATATTTTGCTGCCAAGAAACACCTTCAATAGGAAAAGGAGTGAAGATTACACTTAATATACCATCCTATTGATGGATACTTTCACGCCATAGTTGATAGCATTTTTCCTCTTTCAAAGCTCCCACATAATGAAGGGAGTGCACTGAACAAAGACTCCAACATAGAATGACTTGTTGAACTGTATGTTAGAAATAAGTGTATGTTAGAATGAGTGAACAATGACTCCAACTTAGAATGACTTGTTGAAATTTTATGTTAGAAATAAGTGTGATATGGTTTCTTGATTGAGATATTTACAACACCTATACTTGGAAGGCATATTAAAGTCCATCCTTCCGACCACATCATCAATAGGTAAATCGAACTTCCATGCCCTCCACAAGCAGAATGAGATTTTAGAAGGCAAACCTTTCTCCATAATGAACTTGTAAATCTCCTTTTCATCTTTATGCATTATGTACTATCATGAACCTTTTATCATGTATTCTCGCGACATGCAGGTTTGATTCGATTTATTTATTTAATTTAAACCAAAATAATTCAAATGTTATCGGGTTTGTTTTTAAGTTAAATACTAAATCAAGTGAACGATCAATTTTTTCAATTTGGTGTGCTTTTCCTATTTTCCTTTAATACTCCTTTGTGAAGTTATTTTACATGGCGATTATCACTCATTCACGTTTTCTTATGTAAACCTCTTTTGTGGATGTAAATTAACCTTTCATAATTTGTTTAAGCCTCTCATTTGTTAATAGAAAAATATTTATTTGAACACAATTGGCTTACAAGGAAAGGTTATGAGCGACTTTATGAGGAAGAACTTCAGTAATGTTTTCCACATCAAGAAGAATTGGATAGAGCAAGGTTTTTGAACCACCACAAAAAAAGTTAAGATTAGCTATGAACTTTGTCACTAATCCGTCACTAAATTGCTCTTAGCTAGCAAACTATTTTGATAATTTTGTTGTTTAGCTACAAAATTTGCCCATCGCTAATTCTTTTTTAAGATAATGATGTTAGACAAGTTGTTAAGGTAGTTGGATTGGACTATCAATTAGGTGAAACAAGTGAATGGATTGAAAGTTTTAAGCACAAAAAGAGAACTTTGAGCTGAGACAAGCTCAAGGCTCTATTAATTTGAAAAACCAATGTGAGAAGGGTGAGATAAGGTGCTGAATCTATTTCATGTCCCATTGCAAAGTAAAAACACAAAAAGAAGAAGAGTGGAAAAAACAATGAATATTTAACCTTATTAGCAACCCAAATAAAGCATTTTAATAAAATAGTAATACTTCTTTTTATTACTTAATTTTGCACTTCTAAAAGAATATGGCCACATATTATAAAACCATGGATTTTCCATTCTATCTTCTTTCACAGCCGCCAACCTCTCTCATGTCTTCATCATAGTTCCTTCTTCATCTCTCATCTCTTCCCTCTCTCTTCACCATCTCCAATATTGAAGATCCACAGTAGTTTTTTCGTCATGTAATTCAACCACGCCTTACCAAATCTTTATGGCTTGTGGGTTCGTCTTGAAAATGGGCAAGTAAGATAGGACGGAGGGTACAAAAGAAAACACAAAAAAACTTTTGAGAGAAATTCTCTTAAAGGATATGATAAGCTAGGAAGTTCACCCTAACACTCACAAGTCACAAATACACAAAACCTCTTATAAGCTAGGAAGTTCACCCTAACACTCACAAGTCACAAATACACAAAACCTCGTACTAACCTTTTCCATAGAAAAATCAAACTTTATAGACTGCAAAATTTTCACCCCCAAATGGACTCCAAGGGAGATGAAACCTCCCATCAACGCCCAAAATGGAACAAACCCTCAAGCCATTCTCAATTTTTATCCACCTCAATGCAAGAATCTTCAAGGTTGACGATTCCCACCCATGTACCAAACTCATAACTGATTTTTTTTTTGAGAAAGGTAACATTACTTCTATATATCCACAAGTATACTACACCAAAATGTATAGTTCCCCTACAAAAGTATTACAACTTACATCTTGTGGTTCAAGTTATCCTTACAAAAGTCTAAAACATCAAAAATGTCTTTTGTTTGAGTTAATAGTTATGCTCACACCAAAAATAAAATAGGCCTAAGTAATTCATCTTAAGAATCTGTAAGCTGCTTCTTACTCCTTCAAAACACTTCTTGTTCCTCTCAATACAAACTGACCACCAAATACAAGCCAGGACAATCTTCCATCTCTCCTCCTTACTTACCATGCCATCCTTGTTCCATCATCTTAGGATACCCGCTATGCTTCCAGGTTTCACCCATCTGATCCCTTTTAGGCATATTAACATCCTTTATAGTTGGTCTTGGTCTGTCCACTTGCAATGCAAAAAAAGATGGTTGATTGTCTCAGTTTGTTCCCCACTCATAACTGAAATCTTCTTAAAGTTACTAGTGAAATCCCTCCATCGACTCGGGTGTGTTTCAAAATCTTGGCTTGCTTTAATCTTTGTCCATGAATTTATCAAGACTCATCTTAGCTTATCAACTAATAATGAAGACTACAACCACAATAAGCTTTTGTGTATTTTTGCCATCCTTAAAACAATCTTAAGGCTTGTTCTGTTAAGTCTTTACTTTGTGGGTCTATTGTTGAGGCATGACTTAGATTATCCCTGCAAATCTTTCGAGATTGTGGAATCTTTCAATAGATTGTTTTGTCTTACCGATAGGGAAAAAGAATTGTTTCTATGAAACCCAACAATTAGAAAGTGCGCGAATTGCCTGATTCTAGGCCAAGGTTGAAGAATACTGTTTCATATATGGTTTTGAATTTGATGAGTTCCATGACGATTATAAGGTTGTCGGGAAGCTTCATTGGGATACTACTGATGGTCTTAATGGGAATAATGGTTCGAGGACTTGGGACATCATTTCTATATGGTATGGCTGATGGGAAAAGGTAGACGAACCTCCTTGTGTAGGAGGAGATTTTGGTTTGAGGCTAGGAGTGTTGGATAATGATCCTTCGGTACTCTGTAATTACCCCAGAATTCCCAAAAATTTGTGGGTTATGAACAAGTATGGGGTTTAGGAGTCTTGGGGAAAAATGTATACCATCAAATGTCTCATCCTTGATATGTTCGTTCCATTCTTTTGTATGTCAAATATTATACTCTTGTCGGGCATCTAACAGTGAAATGTGATGTCTATAAAGCTTTGGGTGGTTTTCCTTGAAATACTGACCGGCTGAAGAGCCACATACAAGAGAAGATCAAGGAATGAACATAACTTAGTGGCATGAGAAAAATCATATCTTGCAGATAGACATCATTTTTGTCAGATTATAGATCCTCGTCTCGGAGGCCACTCCTCAAAGAAAGGAGCATTTAGGTCCACTGAGATTGTTGTTTGCTTCCTTAGAATAAATGCAAAATCTAGACCTCAAATGAGTCAAGTTCTGGAAATGTTGATGCTTCTGCCTTCAACGAGTTAAATTGGCCCCACTCCTAGCATTTAAATTAAAGATGTTGGTGTCAAATTTTAAATTAAGTTTGTGGGTTATGAAGGAGTATGGAGTTAAGGCGTCAAAACTAGGTTATCCTAGATTTATCATGGTATTAGGGAATACCCTCAACCAAATATAGATTTAATCCCAAATTTTATGAGTTGACACCAACATCTTTAATTTCAATGCTAGGAGTGGAGGCAATATAACTCATTGAAGGCAGAAGCATTAGCATTTCCAGAACAGAACTCATTTGAGGTCTGGATTTTGCATTTATTTTAAGGCAGCAAACAACAAATATTTGCTTTTGTCTTTGTTTATTCTATTATTAGTTCTATTGTTCCGATCCGCTTGTGTTTCAGGAAATCAAACCGAAGTCAATTCATTCAACAAGATCTGTTCGGATCAGATCTACCAGCGACCGGTTTACGGAACAAGGAGTTAAGCATCAATAAGAAGGAAGAGTGGGATGCGGCATTACTAGTACCAACTGGAACGGAATGGAATGACTGAGAATACCACATTCCCCTCTGTTCTTCTTCTGGTCCGTAAAAAAAGCTATCAGTGGACCTAAATGCTCCTTTCTTTGAGAAGTGGCCTCCGAGACGAGGATCTATAATCTGACAAAATGATGCCTATCTGCAAGATATGATTTTTCTCATGCCACTAAGTTATGTTCATTCCTTGATCTTCTCTTGTCCGTGGCTCTTCGGCCGGCCAGTATTTCAAGGAAAACCACCCAAAGCTTTATAGACATTACTTTTCACTGTCAGATGTCTTGCAAGAGTATAATAAGGTTGCTTGTGTTTGGATCAACTTCAATAATATACAATCCAAAGGATGACACAATCAAATATGCAGGAATTACTAACTTTGATTCCTGTAGTGAGACTGAAATCTACATTGAAGACCTTGTTTGCCCCATTTTACACACAAAAAAGATTGCCAAGGATACAGTCAGAATGAAGGCTGCAAAAACTTAAAAGTCAGATGACTGACGATCATGTAAGTAATGAATTGCAAGATTCCACTTTATACATATCTCACAAGTGCTTCTCAATTCACTTTCTTTCATAAAATATTGAAAAATACATTGCATACTTAAGGGACATTGTTACACCATGTCTGCTTGGAGATGTGCTTTGTCCTTTTCCTTTTGGCGTATTTCCATGAAACAACTTTTTGCGTGAACATTTACTTGGTTGTAGAGCTTAGTGTCTTCAACACTCAAAATAAATAGAATTGAAAATTGTTTCTCAAATCCTTGAGCAATTCAAAGGAACCTCTACCTCCCAAGATGGAACGATTTGGAATTATAACTTCAAAGGAAATTTCAGTGTGAAGGAAGCTTACAAAAAGTTCAACCCTTTCACCTATCAGGTTTCTGGCTGGCCATGGAAACTTATCTGGAAAGTTAAAATACCTCTTAAAGTGTCCTGCTTCACTTGGCTACTAGCAAAGCAGGCTGTTTTGACTCAGGAAAACCTCATGAAAAGGGTTATCCAACTGAGTCTTTGGTGTTTCCTGTGTGGAGAAGAGACTGAAACAATCAATCACCTCTTTCTTCACCGTAGGATCACTAATATTTTATGGAGCATTTTCATCAATTTGAAGGGCCTATTTGGGTGATGCCAAGAAATATCGTCCAGGCCCTGAAGATATGGAGTAGCTTTGCCTACATTTCTGGTCATAAAGAAAGATGGAAGATCATTCCCACCTGTATCTGGTGGTCTGTGTTGAAAGAGAGGAACCTCAGATGCTTCCAGAACAAAAGTAACAACATCTAGAAGATGAAGATGAATTGCTTGGTTTTATTTCATTTTTGGTGTAAACAGGAGTACATGGAAGATCTAGAATTAGTAATGAATGCTTTAGACACCTTGTAATTTTTGCTATTTAGGATTGAAGATCTTCCTGATACTTCCTTTATTTGTAATTAGTAAACCTGTAACAAGTTGTGGCAGGTGGGATATAATACAAGAGTGTTACCTTCTCAAAAAATAATTGTTTTCTTTGGAAGCAATGGTTTAAGTGGATGTCGTGCCTCAGGACAGAGTAAGAATAAAGAGCGCTTTATCGTAGCTGAATCAATAACTATAGGCATAATCCTTGCTAGGATTGTTGTTTGATCTCGGGTCTACATTACTAATCAAAGGACAGAACTTCTTTCACTTTAGCAGTAACATTGACTTGCAAAATTGAAGAAATATGCTGATCTTGTCATGAGACTGGAAAAGGGTACCAGTAAACAAGAGATTATAGGAGAAACATATTTGAGTATGAGACTTTCTTTAATAGGATCCTGTTTACTGTAGTGACCATGAAAGTGAAAATTTTGTCATCTGAAACAAGAAGGTTCCTAGTTCAACTATAATGAGTTCTTGTATCTTGTTCCTTAATAGTGGTGAGTTGTATTTTTTCCACAGAATCCTCACATATTCTGGTAGACATTTGAAAATATTGTAGTTAAAAAAAAGGAAAAAGTGCAATGGTCATGTGTCACCAAACAGATGAAAGCCTCGTTTAATGCGGTTAAAGTGAAACTCTAGTTAGTTAATGGTATCAGCTATCAACTATTTGTTGTGGCATTCTGAAAATTTGACTCAAAGAGTCTAGTCAATGTAGTCAAGTATAGATAAGAAAAAAAAGTTAATTCGTACTCAAAAACAGTGACAATAGTATGACACACATGTATTTACTTATTGTTGTTGTATTTGTTGATTTGCATCCTGTGTGAGACTTTACATTCAGTATTCTTTTTTGATTCTTTGGTCTATTGCTGGTGTTTGTTAAGCTTTAAAGGGAATTCTTGGCTGATTGATTTGTGAAGTTGCTTCAGACATACATGGTTTATAGAATAAAAGATTTCGAGTGTTCTGTGGCACATGAATGGCATGATACTATTTTCAGCTGTCCTTCCTCTTCTAGTCTTGAAGCCATAGCAGTGAGATCAAATCCTCATTAGGCTACCACTAAACAAATGTTTGCTAATACTTGTGCATTAGTCACTTGTGTCAAGAATTTCCCAGAAAGCAGAGGAATTGTTTTGGGATTCTTGAAATGTTTTCTTTGGCAGCCTAAGTTATTACCCAACTATACCATGTTTTCCTGTGCTCGGACTCTCCAGAAATGTTGTGGCACTGCCCCACTCATTCTTATTTTCCCTGTTAGAAAACTTACTGTTCAATATAAGAGCTCTCCCACTCCAGTCATTGCTTTCTTTTTGTTACTTTGAAAGTAGCTGCTTCAGCTTCTTTAACTTCAGCCACTCAAAATTTCGATGTTCTTTTTTTATTTCGCAGCAATCTTCTAGCTCTTTTACTTTAAGGACCAGAACAATTATTAGGTCCTATTATGATATAATATGGACTTATGGTAGTGAGCTGGTTCCATTCTCCCCTAGTTTTAAATGCTGTTGTTGGTCCCTGACAGATTTCTCGGTCATTATCAAAAGGTGATGTGAACTTATGAGTTCTCCTAGGCATTTCAATTAAAAAGAAAGACCGACTTGCACCCAAGGGTGTGACCTAGTGTCAATGAAGTGGATTGAAAACCATGAGGTCATAAGTTCAAATTTCAGGGAGACCAAAAACACTAACCTTGCGGTGTCTATGTTGGTTGGAGGTAGCAAGGAAATTATAAAATTAATCGAGGTACCTGCAAATTGGCCTGAACTCCATGGAAAAAGAAGAAAAAATGACAAATATGAAGACTTAGGTTGAGAAAAATAAAATTTTCCACAGTTGTCATGTATTTATGTTTTGGTTCTTGGACTGCAATTGAAAAAAATATATTGTCAATGAGACTATTCAACTCTTCGTTATTATTATTCTTGTGATACTTGTTTGTCTCATTTTTTTGCTTCTTCTTTTCTTTTGGCCTTTGGGCAGGTACCAGATTTAGGAAGTGGCGATCCCTCACCAATTGGTTCAAGAAGATCATCAGACTGATAGGAATGATGCAGATCGAGTGAGTGGCGTGCTAGTTAGTAATGGAAATGATTGCATTGCAAAAGACCATTTCTCCTCGAGACGAGGTCAGAGCATCTATGCTAATTTACACGAAGCTATTTATTGATGTCGATTTGGATATGTTTGTTGCCTGGGAACTGGTCTTATTATCCATTTCCCCCTCTTACATAATCAAGAGGTCTCCTGTTGTAAGCTTTCATAATCTTTCTTGGGTGTCAGATGGATGGGTTGGACTAATTTCCACCTCGACTTTGAATTATTGTAACATGTCTAATTATTGTCGAAATGACAATAACATATTCAGTGTAATCCTTCTCTGATGTGGAGTCTCACGAGGATAAAGAGTATACAAATTTTACTCCTACCTCGTGGTCGTGGAGATGGAAGTGTTATTTCCAAAAGATCCTTGGCTTGTATTTGCCACTCTTGTGAAATAAAAGAAGAAAAAAGATCAAAGAACTTTTCTTGTCTACTACAATGCTCAAGTCTGTGAAAACATAAACTCATAAAATTACTATGTTGGTACAAATTGAGAGCCTTTTAATACAAGCTAATAAAGAGAATATAAATTAGTTGCATATGATCGATCATGCTTTAATAAACTATTTAGCAATGGATTATCATATATTTATGTTATCTATATAAGCAACTTAGCGATGAATTAGTGATAAAATTATAACTAATTCTATATATTTTTTAATAGTGATTTCAAACATTTACATCCTTCTCCTTTTGCCATATCATGAAAGTAGGAAAATTCATAAGAGAAGCCTTTCGCCAGAAAATTATATGGGATATTTTTCCTTAATAAGAAATCAATATTTGATTTATAACACTATTAAAAAAAATCGTTTGCACTTAACTATAAGAAAAATATTGATTACATGAGGATTTTACATGAGAATCTTTTTGTAATGGATTTACATAGGAATTATTTCTTGGGATTTACCTACAGAGTTACTTGGAGATTTTATTCTTGCAATTTTAGATGGGAAATAATTCTTGGAATTTTGTTACCTAGGGATTTAAGGCTTGTAAGTGTTCCGCTTAATATGAGTGTGATTCATCATGTGTAATCAACAATATCCCTATATACTTCATATCCATTTTAATTAGTCGTGTCATCAAAGTCAAATTTTCATGCCCAATTAGAAAAAATTGAAAGTGAAAAAGTGTTAACTTTCGAAATTTGTACTTTCGGTCTGAAATCTGAACGATATGATAGAAAGAATTCTTTATGTCCACAAGCACAACATTCTTATCCCTTCCACATAGTTTAGAAAAGTGACAATAAAGCATAAAATTGTTAAAATAAGATAAGTGAGTCTCGTTGATTTATTAAGGTTTGAGTTGAATATAATCGTTCAAAATTATCGAAATTTATATTTTAAAAAAAAGTTGTATTCTAAATTTAAAGTTTATTTGGATCAATTTTAAAGTAAAAACGTATTGATGAAATTCTTACTCATGAAATTATGGCTGCCCATCGGGATTTTATAGCAAATTCTAACTATTTGCAAGGTTATGTGAATATTTTATCAATTTTTTCTTTGGAACTTTGAATAATATAATACATTTGATCCATAACATTATGTTTGTTTAAAATAATATTATGTTTGTTTGTTATAATATTATGTTTATTTGTTATTCGTCTTGGACTGAGAATAATTATTTGCAACATGAGATTAAATACATATCTTGTATTTTTTGAGTAAAAAAATTAAATAATAATTGGGTGGTTTATTGTCATCCTAAAAAGAACAAAAGTAACTTTAATAGAATATTGTTCTCAAGTAATTGAATAACTTTCTTATCTTATAAAGAACAACAATAACTTTAATAAAATATTTCATAAGTAAAGTGACCATCCAATAAATAAACTCATTAATACACTAGAAGTAATAAACATAGATTATGCAAAGGCAAAAGAAAGATGTACACATATACATAGGTGTATGGGTTATACTATCTACAATCTACATGATGGAGCTTATCTAATTAAATTTAATCATAGATAATATCATATACACATATGTTTAATTAATTCGTTCACATCACACTTCTTGAGACACGATCCTTTTCTGAATTTTCTTAATTCGGGATGTTTTATGCATCGAACTGCTTTGATCAGTAACCAAAGAATACATTGTTATCCATTAATATTCCCTCCATTCCAAAATCCTCCAAAAAATGTGGCTGCTCCATTGAAAATATTGATGAAGAAGTAGTAATTGGGCTATTATTATTGCTTGAAACCCTAGCACAATTACTTCCCAATAATAGCCTTTGTATCTCCTTTTTTGCTTCACTCAATTGCTCTTTCATCTTCAAAATCTATATGAAAAATATATCAGAATTTGAGTTTTGATGATTCCATCAGGTTCGGAATATCAAATTCAGTCAACTTGCATGTTTGATTTGTTTTCGTTTAATTAGGTTTCGAATGATTACCTAGGGTTGATACATTTTTAAAGATTGAACTAAGTGATATACGAGATTAATGATTTATTTAATTAGTATAAAGAAATCACATAAACAAGATAATTAAAATCACACGTTCATATATATTATTGTGTTAATCGTTAATTTAACTTATATGTATTGACAATATATAAAATGGTATTCTCACATTTAACACTAAAAATATACCTGTCACCTAGCTACTTAATTTTCCAAGTTATTGATCTCATTAAAAAAAATTAAATGTGTACAACTTACTTTAGGAGGGGATACATGATTGATAGTGTAATTTTATTTTATTTTGTGCTTCATAAGTGTTATGAAACTTCCACTTGATACCTTTCTGCTAGAATATTTAATTTATATATATTGACGATATAATTTTTTTTTACACAATGCATGTTCATGTCCTTTAAAAAGATAATTAGAAAGATGTACCTGAGTTTCAAGACGGCATTTCTCAACAATGGTAATCTCATGTTGAGACTTCAACTTGGAATATTCGTCCTCGATTTTCTTTTTCTTCCATCTAGCCCTCCTATTTTGGAACCACACCGCGACTTGTTGAAGGTCAAGGCCAAGCTCAGAAGCAAGCTTGGCCTTGGTCTCCATATCTAGTTTGTGCGCGTCCCCAAAACTCCGTTCAAGAAGATTAACTTGTTCTTCACTAAGCTTCCTCTTTCTGACTATTTCATCGCTGCTCGTTTCACCTTTGTTCTTCTTCCTTCTCCGCCACGGTTGCACCCCTCCTGAAGAAAACCCTAAAGTTGCATTAATACATGTAGGATTTAACTTATTTACGTTGCATGTATTTAAAAAGTTACACTAGTGATATTAACTTGCTTTATTTGAAGGGGAGCCTTGAAGAAATTTCAAATTTGTCTCTATATGACCTATAAATTACATGTTCGAACAATGAAAACAATCAGTAATGCTTACATTAGAGTAGGTTGCTTACATCACACTATTTGGGGTGCAACCCTTTCCAGACCCCTACTAACGTATGGTGTTTTATGCACCAGGCTACCCTTTGGCCAATTACATGTTATTTATAGTTATCATTTAGCTAACTTGGTGGAGTAAAATTAATTATGCACCACATTCAAGTTAACTTCATTCAAAAGATAGGAGTTTGTTTTGTCTTGTGATCATAGTATCAGATTAGGTTGACCTACGACAACAATAATTAACTATGTAAATCGAGCTAATATATTCAATTGTACATTGTTATTGTTAAAATGAGTTTGATTGACTTACAACAACATTTAACTCAATAAAACAAGTTGATGTAGTCGATTATACATTCTTTTTTGTTAAAATTCTTTATACCGTCAGTATAATATATACTATATGTATAACTTAATGCTAGACTCTAAAAATGAAAAAAATAAATTATGCTAACCTTGATGATCTGGTACTAGTTGGGTGTTGATACCAGTATAGTATTGAGAGATCATAACCATTTGATGATCATCAAGTTGGTGATGAGTCATGTTAATATTTTTCTTTGTTTCTTTAGTAAAAGAAGAAAGTAGAGAAGACTAAGAAGGCCAATAGTGTTTATTTTAAGACTTTGGTGTGACTATTTATAAAGCTAGATAGATAATAGCCCTCTAGAATATACCTTCCTTCTCTTTACAATATTCAGATTCCATGTGCATGTTGTTTGGAATGCGGAGTTAGAATTTGAAGTTTGTAGATTTGAGATTTTATCATATTTAAGTCACTGGGTTCTAAATGAAATAATTTGTACATATTAAATGAAATTGTTAAGATAAATATAAAGTTAATTTGGATCAACATCACTAGGTTCTGTCAAATTCAGACCGTGTTCTCCGACTCCGCATCTGCTCATATAATCATGTAATTGTTCCCGAATTGTTTGAGATTCAGACGTAGTCGATTGAGAATATAATATTATAGTTGTATAGTAAAAAAAATATGTTAGAAATTCAAGTGTAGTTGGTCAACACAGACATAACTAGCTAGCGCTTCCAGCCGAATTCAGTAAATTTGATCCAAATCAAAACCTTATAACTTTATTATGTATATTAACATTTATTCCACTGCCATTAAACTAATAATAGACAGAAACAACTATACATTTTATAGAGATTCTGCTATAATTTTTTTTTTCACAAGGTCTAATCATTTAAAAATTACTTCCTCTATCCCAATTTAATTATGTTACGGTGTTAGATTTCAAAGTCAACTGAGATATTTTCAAATATTTTTATAAATATTTTAGATTATTAATTATTATAATCTATAATATATTTTACGTAGTATACGATCAAAATGGTGAAGCCGCAATTTCGAAATCCAAATGACATATAATTGAAATAGCAAGTATAAATAAACAACATATATTATACATTGTTAAAATGACCTATTATAATGGATAAAATTATTAAAAGTCATTTTGAACTTTATTAAAAGCGTGAGCCTATATTTGATCAAAGTATGACATATCAATCTTACCTAAGTCATGACGCCATGTATATGATGATACCTATCCCTATTATTTCATCAATCGGATACGAAGTTTAAGAAAGAATAAAAAATAAAGAATTTGTATATATTGTAAATATTTTGTGATTGGATAAAACAAATTAAAATTAAATAATTTTAAAATATAAAAATATGTATATGATTTATATATGGCAAATTTAAAAAGAAAAATTGTACTCCAGGGGGTGGCCGGGGCAATTGTGTTAGATTCATAATTTTTAATAAGAAAAAATTAAAAATATTTTTAAAAAGTAAATCTAACATTTATTTATTTATATAAAATAAATAATTTTAACTTTTTGTATAATGTAGCATGTTCATCTCCACTTTGCTCCGCCCTTAGCACTAATTCAGAAATTTTTTAGGGTCCACCAAATATTGAATATCATAAACTTATAAAGTTTATATTCCATTAATAAGGGGTTACTTTCCACAGTTCTTTTTTGTCACCTTGTGTGGATTTCATATATGACGGCCAAGTTTTGACTGTACAAAGTCTTTTAAAGGAGAGAGAGAGTTAATGATGTCAAAAAGAGAAGACAAAATGAAATCTTTTTAAAGTTTAGATAATGTCATGAATTTAAAAAATTAACTTAGATGGATTGTATTCAATCTCAAAGTTTTTATTATTGAACTTATCTCACTTTATAATTATACGTTTTGATAAAGAGAGAAATTTGTTTTCAGAACCTAATGTGAAAATGATGTCACAAGGACAAAATATATATTTTTTAAAAAAGTTTAGATAGATATCATGAATTAAAATTTTTAACTTGATAGATTGTATTTAATTTCAAAGTTTTTATTATTAAACTTATCCCATTTTAAAATTATAAATTGTATAAACTTTGCTAAAGAGAAAAATTTGCTTTCAAAACCTAATATGAAAATGATGCCACCAAGAATAAGATAAAATCTTTTTTTAAAAAAATTTAGACAGATGTGAATTAAAATAAAATAAATTTGAAAGAAACAAGAATGAAATAAAATAAAGTTATTTTTTTGCAAATGGAGCAAAATAAAAATAAGAATAAACATTAAATGGGCCATGACAAGGCGAGTTAGAATTTAAGGTTAAGGTCAGTATTGTACATATGAAATCTTATGGAAAATACTTCATAATGAACACTTATAGGGAATTCTCATAGTTTAAAGTGTGTTAAAAAATATCGTTCTTAAAAATATTTCATCTGATATAAATGTATCCTTCAAGATTCAATAAGCTCTTTTAGTATAAAATTATGAGACTGAATCTAACAAAGACTAAAAATAAAAACCCAACATACTATCATATATAGGAATAAGATTTGTTTATGGTGTCTCCCCCTCCAAAGAAGGAAAAGAACTTAGAATAATATTGTAATTAATACTATTAAGGACCTTTAATAGTCATCAAAATACTTCACAAATAATTAACAATATATATGAAAGAATGAACCTAGACAATAATATGAATACTTCTTTTTGAGATACTGAAATCATTTTTCCAACAATTTTGTCTTTTATTGCCTCACTTTATTTATCATCTTGTAATTTTCATATGCTTACTTATATTAATTTTAATCTCTTAGTGAAATTTTGATTTGCTATTGCTTACATATTATCATCCTCGGACTTGATTCACAAGCAGACCACCTACATCATCAACCTCGAAAAATTCCACTACCTTAAAACTAGGAGCTCAATAGGCTAGTTCAATCTCATTTATAAAATAACACTGAATATGTTATCATGCGTTGTATAATTATACCATCCTTATAGATTGGAATGAAAAATACTCCACTTAATAAGAGAAGTTACTTTCCACACAGGATTTTTTGTCACAATATGTGGAATTTGCAAGGAAAATCATTTTCTTCTAGAAGATTCGACATCTTAACTTATCGACCACCTATTACCAAGTTGGACCCCCTTGTTTGATGAAGGAATTCTTTTATGAGATTTTTGTGTTATAAAGTGTATCATTTTATTGTTCGGAGAATTTTGATAGCTCAATTAATTAATTATTCGAATTTTTATGTTATTGATAAGAGTTAAATTCTCCATTTTGTAATTCTCTTCTCAATTTCTTCTTTCCCTACTCTCGTTTTGAAAAAAATAAAATTTATGGTTTGATTTAGCTTATTTAAAGAACGGAAAAGGGTCAAAAATACCCTTAGACTATTTGAAAAGGTTTAAAAATACCCTCCATCTATCTATTGGGCTAAAAATACCCCTCCATCCACCTTTTTGGCCTATTTTTACCCTTAAAACTTAACATATTTTTTAAAATTATTATTAGCAGTACTACTTATTACATATACCCTTCATCCATCTATTGGTCTAAAAATACCCCTCAATCCACCTTTTTGGCCTATTTTTACCCTTAAAACTTAACATATTTTTTAAAATTATTATTAGCAGTACTACTTATTACGTGGCGTCTTCCTATTGGATAAAATAAAATCCCAACTCACCAATTTTTTCCCGCTACTTATTACGTGGCGTCTTCCTATTGGATAAAATAATATCCCGAACTCACCAATTTTTTCCAGCCTGCCCGACCCATGCTACATTCCTATGACCCAAATCCAACTAAACACAAGTGACCCAAATTTAATACCCACCCTCTTCGTCTTTCTTTTGGAGCAATTCTTTAAAGGAATCCATGAAGTAGAGGCAGACAAATAACCCCCAACTTTCCTCGTAGCCGTCACCATTAATGTTTTATTTTTCAAATAAAGCAGGTATTTTTCGAAGAACAATTGAATTTTAATACTATGATCATAAGGAAATTAGAGAATTAAAAGTTTAAATAGATTATGAATTATTGAAGTATTCAACTAGATCGGATCAAACAGAACAAACCAAATATGAATGAGACTGTATTGGGAGTAATATATTATTAAGAGGGACAATAATTATTCATATAAAGGTCAACAAGATGAAAAAAAAACAAGGGAGAAATAATTTTTTTAAAATTCTTCAATGAATTCGTCATGGGAATGATGAGATTGCGTCTGGCCTCTGCTTCATGGATTGTTAAAAAAATTGCTGCTCCAAAAAAAAAAAGAAATGATGCTCCACGAAGAAGACGAAGAGGGTGAGAATATTAAATTTGGGATTCCTTGTGTAATTGTGTTTAATGGAATTTGGTCACGGAGTTGTGGGTTTTGATCGGGGCGGGTTGGAAAAAATTGGTTAATTGGGGATTTTATTTTATCCAATAGGAGGACGCCACGTAATAAGTAGTACTAATAATAATAATTTTTAAAAATCTGTTAAGTTTTAAGGGTAAAAATAGGCCCAAAAGGTGAATTGAGGGGTATTTTTAGACCAATAGATGGATGAAAGGTATATTTAAACCTTTTCGAATAGGTTGAGGGTATTTTTGACTCTTTTCCGTTTTTATTTTTGTAATGTTGAAATAAGGTCGATATTTTTATTTTTGTAATGTTGAAATTTCGACCTTCGAAGATCGGTATTTTTATTTTTGTATTTTTAAAATTCCGACCTCCGGAGGTCGGTATTTTTATTTTGGTAATGTTGAAATTCTGACCTCCGGAGGTCGGTATTTTTCTTTTTTTATTTTTGAAATTCTGACCTCCGGAGATCGATTTTCTGCTACAAAACTGGCAGCAAATTGCTGCAATTTTAGTTGCCCACCTGCATATTTATACCAAAACAACCCAAAGAGTTGCCAATACAATATTTTTCAACATATACATTAAACTACTTCAAAATAAACTTCATCCAACTTCAAAATAAACTTCATACAACTTCAAAATAAACTTCATAAAACTTCAAAATAAACTAAAATACGATCAAACAATTCCAAAAATATAAAGTCTAAAATGTCAAATAGATACAACAACTCCTCATCACCCTCCTGAGACTTATCATTCTCATCACCCTCCCTCTCCTTATCAGGTATCATATTCTCATCACTGTTGGCCGAACATGTTGGAAGAATTTTTCCTGATTCAAAAAGAAAA